GAAGTCTGACAACTCCAGATCCTAGCATTTTACTGCTATTCCTCGTGAGCTACCACCTTCAAGCAGGCTTTTCCCTGAGTTGCACTGGTTGGCAGGGGAATTTGTCCTCCGGCACTCTCAGTACCCCCGGTAGGCAGGGAGGGGCTTCACACTTGATGGGTTCTTCTGGAACGGAGTCTTAATACCAACCTCCCGAGTTTCCTCATCTGGGTTAGACGGGACTGGGTTTCTTGTGGCAGGAGCCTTGTGAAAGCTGCAGACCATTCTCCTGGGACTTCAGAAGGGCTGGGAGAGGACAGGCTTACCCTGAATTTGTGTGTGGGTGGGGAGGCCTTGGAGAAATGAGCCAGCTCTGTGCGTTGCAAGGGTCCAGGTCTCACAGGCAGCGGAGCCAGAGTTCTTGGAGTTGCTGGTGAGTGTAAAGCTAACTGCATAGAAACTTCCTTGGTTTTCTCTCCTTAGCTACCTTAGCGGGCAGGTTTTTTTTTTTTTTTTTTTTAATTTTTTTTAATGCTTTATTTCTGAGAGAGAGAGAGACAGCATGAACAGGGGAGGGTCAGAGAGAGAGGGAGACACAGAATCTGAAGTAGGCTCCAGGCTCTGAGCTAGCTGTCAGCACAGAGCCCAACACGGGGCTTGAACCCACAAACCGTGAGATCATGACCTGAGCTGAAGTCGGATGCTTAACCAACTGAGCCACCCAGGTACCCCCTTAGTGGGCAGGTTTAAATAAAGGACCTATAGTTCATTCCCCTCATTCCAGGGTTGAATGCAGTTTTACCATTCACTAGCTCCATCGCCAATGTTCCTAGGAAATTTCCTCAACTGTAAAATGAGGACAATACCCTCATCCTCAGGGTTACTGTGGGGATTAATATAGTAACATAAGTAAAGTGCCTCAATACTGCAGTACTTAACACACAGTAGGCCCCCTTTATCTGATGGGAGAATGGGTCAATGGTGAAGCTATGCTATATCCTGCTGTGAGACTTTCAGTGGATGCATCACAAAGTATGCCAGGTTCTTTTTGTACTTAAAAGCACTGACATTCCTCCCTCTGGAAATGAGGCTAGCTAGCTTTCGGGGCCTGCTGTCAAGCGCTCACAAGTATACACATGGAGCCTAACTTAGCTGATGGGATAACAGTCACACCATGCTAGCATTTAAAGACTCTACAGGGTCTAGAGTGACAATTCACAGATGGGACTTCCAGATAATAGGGCTGATTCTTTCCAGTCATTCATTTTACTATCTTGGGAGGTTAAACGACTGTCTCGGGCTTAGGGAACATTGTCAGGTTTGGAGCTCCTAACTCTGAGCTGGTCTTGTCTTCAGCTATTCCACACTTGTTGGATCTTGACTCTGTTGCTCTATTTATAAAGCACTTGCTCTATATTTCTCTTTTTTAAAAAAAAAGTTTATTTTCAGAGAGGGAGGGGCAGAGAGAGAGAGAGAAAGAGGGAGAGAGAATCCCAAGCAGGCTCCACACTGTCACTATGGAGCGCGACACAGGGCTCGAACTTACAAACTGTGAGATCATGACTTGGCCTGAAATCAAGAGTCAGATGGATGCTTACCCGACTGAGCCACCCAGGCGCCCGCTCCATTTCCCTTCTTATTTCATATTGTGTACAAAAGGAGGAGAAGTTGATGAGCACAGTTCTGTGGCTCCAAGTTCTTGCTTAGAGAAGTGTTATGGAAGAATAAGAATTTAAGGTCAATTTGCAGGAGAGTGAGTATAGGTTGGCACGATGAAAGCATCAGAGCCCATCTTTCTGCTTTGTCCGTCATTCCCAGATACTCTAAAACTTACTACTATAGTGTTTTGCCCGAATTGCGAGTCACCAGAGACCTCCAAGGAGCCGGCACCGATGCAAGTACAAAAGGGTCTTTATTATAAGCTCGAGCAGGGATTCACCCGTCTCCCGTCGCAGCCGCAGCGAAGTGGAGCCCCGAACAGTGGGGAGCAGGGATTTTATGGGGTAAGGGTGGGGGTGTTACCGTGCACACGTTGTACGTTTTGCATCATTACATAAGCACCAATCATAATTGTACAATACTCATAGTAACAGTTTTGACTATTCAGTATCTGCGAGGCGTCAGTTACTTTTGGTGGGACCCAATTATGACCTTTGAGAATCTTTTGAAAATGACCAATTATGAGGTGAGGTGGGCTCAGAGGATCTACGTGGGGCTTATGCAAGTGGCGAATGACTGGCTATTTTGTACAAAGTAACTACCTGCAGTTCCCAGCCCTGACTCGTCTCCAAGACTACAGGAATGTTACACATTTCTTTTGATTGGCAGATCCGAGGGCGGTCCGAGAGTGGCTTCAGCTGAGGCTTTTCCTGGAACTGGACTATATGCAGCCTGAGGTTGTTTCTAATGGAGGACTTAATTTCAGGCTCCTCAATAGGTTCACTATAAACATTATTTCAACAACCTGATTTTAGCTTATTGACAATTTGATGCTTATGTTTGTATTCCACTTTTCTGTTCTAGTAGTCAGGAATCTTTTCTTGTTGTCTTAGGTATATCTCAGCAGTGAAAATAGTTTTCCTCTGTCAGAGACAAGGAAGTAATCAGAAGCCTAGTTTTAATTAATTTTTTTAATGTTTTATTTATTTCTAGGAGTGAGAGAGAGAGGGAGAGAGAGAGAGAGAGGGAGAGAGAGAGAGAAAGAGAGAGAGAGAGAGAGACAGCGTGAGCAGGGAAGGGTCAGAAAGAGAGGGAGTCACAGACTCCGAAACAGGCTCCAGGCTCAGAGCTGGCAGTCAGCACAGAGCCCGACGCCGGGCTCGGACCCACGAACTGCGAGATCATGCCCTAAGCGAAAGTCGGACGCTTAACCGACTAAGCCACCCAGGCGCCCCAGAAGCCTAGTTTTAAAAGTCTGTAAAATATAAACTTTAGATACAACACGGAAATATTCATTTTATAAAGGAAGGTTTCTTTTTAATTTTTTAAAAATAAAAGTCCTTTAAAAAAAAAAGCACAAACTCCACTAGCAGAAAAAAAGGTAAGTAAATTCAGAATGGTATGTATAGAGTGCACTCTCACCCCCACACCCTCCTACCTTCTCAGAGTTCCCACTGGTTTTGTGGCGAGAATCAAGAACCCACATGGACATGCATCTCCACCCCAGGCACTTGACTCCCCACTTTCCTATCCCCCATACTCAGCAGAAGGGAAGATGGGTGGCAGTGCTCTGTAGCATTCCAATTGCAAAGGAAGTATTTTCACATTGAAACAATGTTAAAAGAGGTACATGGGCTTCCCTTAAGGTAAATTAGGAATTACTGAGAGTTGGCCTGAAAAGCAAATAGTCATTTTAGATTATTTCTATGAGAATCATATTTGGAGGTCCAAAAATTGGCTGACCATCAACAAACATTTGAAATACAATCTGTCATAGGTTGGAAAATGGTTGGATATTTTTTAAAAATTTGATTTATACAAATCTTTCAAGGGTGCACTAGGCCACAATCATTTCTTGAGTTCCTGAACATCCGTTGCATTAATAAACGTGGTACCTATATTAATATATCACTTAAAGCTCAAATATAACTTGGGGGTTCATATACTATTTGCTCTACTTTTGCATATGTTTGAAATTTTTTATAGTAAAAAGGATTAAAAAAAAAACCTTTCGGAATATACATTTCAAAATTCTCAAAGGATTAACCTAGGGCAAAATTAGGAGGCAATATTAAAACCCCGAATAAGAAGTAAAAATGTGGGGCGCTGGGGTGGCTCAGTCAGTTAAGTATCTGACTCTTGATTTTGGCTCAGGTCATGATTTCACCGTGATTTGTTAGCTTGAGCCCTGACCCAGGCTCTGTCTGCACTGACAGTGAGGCGCCTGCTTGGATTCTCTGTCTGCCCTAGGCCCACACGGGTGCACATGCACGTACTCTCTCAAAATAAATAAATAAACATTAAACAAAAGGTAAAAACTTGAATTAAAATAATTAAAAAGAAATTTTTTTAAACTTGGATTTCTAATTGCATCCATTACATAGACAGCAAACCAGCTATCAAAACATTGAAACTATTTCAAATGTGGACCTATTTTAAAGCCTCCAAAATCTCACGTCACTTTTGTTTATAATTAACAATATCTTTCAAATGCCTAAGTATGACATTTTTAAAAATCCATTATAATTAATATAAAAAGGAAAATTAAATTCAGATTTAAGCATCTCTCTCTTATCACGTTTATCTCTTTAAAATGTAGCTTAATAAAAGTCTATTAGACTTCCTAAGATAAAATTTTATTAAATTCAGAGTTAAAATATTTACTCTTTAGATATCTGCAGTCAACTAACAAATTTTCTGTAACATCCTTTCATACTTTTATAAACAAAATATTTTAAAGACCTATAATGGCATGATATAAAAGAGCAATAATTATAGTAGACAAAATAATACATGCAGTATGATATGCCTTCTGCCATGTACCTATGAGTTTTACAGAATAATCGTTACAACAGACGTCCTTAGAGAACAAAAGAGAATGAGAAAGTAAAAGGTGAAGGGAAGCATGGAAGATATTTTCTGTTATCTTCTACTGTGTGGTCTCTCACTGCGCTATTGTTTAAACAAAAAAAGGTCTTCACAAGGGCAGGTCCTGTTTCAAATGTCCCCTTACCCTTCTGACTAGAGAATAATGTGTTTGTGTAGTATATGATTACACCAGACAAGGCTGTGAACACATGTGACTTACTCAATGATCCTATTCTGCTTCCTTTTAAAGATAAAGAATGCATGTAAGTCGACTGTGTATGAGGCTCTCGTCATTCCTTAGAAGGCTCCATTCAAACAGAGAATAAAATTACCTTCCTTTAAAACATTAGGAGCATGGCTGTTTCCTCCGTCTTCATTTTCTTTTCAGACAATATGAATTAATACTTTCATTTATTTCAAAAGAGAAAAATATGACACATGTAATTACTTTAAAACAGTTTTAATTTATCTTTGTATAAGCAAAACATCCCCATTAAACATTTACTTTTCAAAAGTGTTTATATACAAATAACTGTGTAAGATGGAAGAAACAGCTAAAAACAACACAACCACCAACACAACAACTCCTAACAGTAGGCCAAGTCAGGGTGCAGATCTCATGAAAACAAGCTGCTCACATTCCCAGAACCACAAGCCCCTGGGAGGAATCTTGTCCTGTTTAACTCGCTGGGTGGCGGAGCCCAGAGGAATTAACTCAAACTATGAAAATCCCAAAGCATGGTCACCTATAGGGAAATGAGGAGAGAGATATAATTTGAGCATGGTAATTATTTTCTTGTAGTAACAGTAAAACAACAACAACAACTGTAAATGGTAAAGGTTTTTTGTGGGCCCCAACTTCAATAGGTAGCTAACTGTGTATTTACCAAACATAGAATTTGTTAGCTATGGTGGAAAACATACTACGTATGATTGCCATTTGTCTTTAAGATGATATCTCTAGAGCACTCATATTTACTGATTATAGATGCATGTAAGTAGTATGTAAAGTAATAAAACACAGCCAACATTTGAAGGTTTACTGTGTATCAGACATACTCTTCTAGGTTCTTCATATGGTTTTTTACTTAATCCCCACAAGATCCCTGAGAGGTAAGAACTATTATTATTTCTATTGTACGGAGAGCTAAGGCATAGAAAAGTTAAAGATTACACAGACAGAACGCAAAACTAGTTACCTTGTCTGCAGAGCTCTTGCTTTTCATTTAGTGCCAGTGCTGTAATGTGAAACTGGATTTTATTTTTACATTTTTTTAATGTTTATTTATTTTTGAGAGAGAGAGAGATGGAGAGAGACAGAGTGTGAGTGGGGGAGAGGCAGGGAGGGAGGAAGACACAGAATCCAAAGCAGGCTCTAGGCTCTAAGCTGTTAGCACAGAACCCGACACGGGGCTTGAATCCACGAACTGTGAGATCACGCCCTGAGCCGAAGTCTGATGCTTAACCGACTGAGCCACCCAGGTGCCTCTATTTTTACTTTAAAAAAAAAAGTTTACCCTGTGTCAGATTCTTTTTTTTTAAAAAAATTTTTTTTTAATGTTTTATTTATTTTTAGGAGAGAGAGAGACAGCGTGAGCAGGGGAGGGTCAGAGAGAGAGGGAGTCACAGGCTGAAACAGTCTCCAGGCTCTGAGCTGGCAGTCAGCACAGAGCCCGACGCGGGGCTCGATCCCACGAACCGCGAGATCATGACCCGAGCGAAAGTCGGACGCTTATCCGACTAAGCCACCCAGGCGCCCCACCCTGTGTCAGATTCTATGCTGACAGCGTGGAGCCTGCTTGGGATTTTCTCCTCTCTCTCTGGCCCTTCCCCATTCACATGCTCTATCAATCTCTCTCTGAAAATAAACAAACACTTTATTTTATTTTAAAATGTTTACTTACTTTGGGGGAGGGAGGGGCAGAGAGAGAGAGAGGAAGAGCTTGAACCCATGAACTGCGTGATCACGACCTGAGCTGAAATCAAGCGTCAGTTGCTTAACTGACTGAGCCACCCAAGTGCCCCTGAAGTTGGATTTTAAACCTTATTATCACACAGAACTACTCTTCCAACTATTCTTCTACAGAAATTCCATTTCCTTGTGAACTTCCACCTCCTAATACCTTTCTGACTCACTGTTCACCTTCTGCTTCCCAATTCACCTTCTGGTTTCACCTGCTTCCACATACAACTTGGACCCCTAGTCATTTCATTTATACCCCCAGACTCCTGCCCTGGCCTCTCCTACTGAAGTCAAACCAAGGTGGTGGCCTGTACCAGCAATCTCTGTTACTACTGCTTCCTAACAGTGAAACATTACTGCTGATTTAATCCAAGAAAGAGTCACGCTTCCTGTTGCTAAGTGGGCCTTCACTGCTGCTCGGCAATCCTTTTGTTGACACTTTATAGCATCCACAGCAGCTGTTCCCAACTTCTTCCAGAATTAAATCCCCAAACGCACCTATCTATCCCTTTGTAGATTATCTTACTATGGATTTACTTCAAACTCATCCAAAGTAGAGTTGCCAGATAAAATATAGGATGCCCAATTAAATGAGTTCCAAATAAACAAGGAATCATATTTTAGTATAAGTATGTACCAAATATTGCATTATAGAAATATTTAAATGGCATGTAAAATAAAAAAAAACCTCAGCAAACTATGTACTGAGAGCCTACCAAATATTGTACAGAACATATTAATACACAATTTTAATACTAAAAATTTGTTCATTGTTTATCTGAACATCAAATTTTACTTGGCATCATATATTTTAATTTGCTAAACCCAATCCAATCAAATTTCCTTCTTTCCATTCCTAGTACCCTTCCTTTTTTCAAAGGTTAATTCTCTGAGCTATGGTATTGGTCTCTCTCCTTAGTTCACTTTCTTCTTCATTCTACACAGTCCTTCTTTTCTACTTTCAAGAATGCTCGGGTCATCCCTACTATAGTAGGGATTCTACACCCCTCCATGAGCCCACCCATGCCCTTTGCCGTGTCACTCTGCAATTTCTCTACAAAGGTAAATTCTACTTCCCCACTCTTTGAATCTGTATGTAGCCATATAATCTGATCTGGTTATTAGAATGAGGCAGAAGTGCCAGCATGTCAGTTTGGAATCTGAGTTTCAAGGGGTCTTGTGTATCTCTGCTGGTCTTCTTAAAACTTTTCCACCTCCATGAGAAGAGTATGCCAGCGTAAGCCAGAAAGGAGGAGGATGACAGGTGAAATCGCGTCAAGCATTGAGCAAAGCCCCCCCCAGTAGGCTTGTAGATGTACAAGCAAGCCCCACTAAGACCAGCCAACCCTCAGGCACGAGCTATAATTACAGTCTCAAGCCACCGTTTTCGAGGGTTGGTTATACAGCAAAAGCTATCTGAAACATGTACCCTGAAAAAACTCTTCTTGACCTTACGATTCTAATTTTTCTTTCTTGCACCCCTGAACTGCTGTAAAAAGTTTTCTCTCTCTCCCTTCCTTCCTTCCTTCCTTCCTTCCTTCCTTCCTTCCTTCCTTCCTTCCTTCCTTCCTTCTTCTTTCTTTCTTTCTTTCTTTCTTTCTTTCTTTCTTTCTTTCTTTCTTTCTTTCTTTCTTTCTTTCTTTCTTTCTTTCTTTCTTTCTTTCTTTCTTTCTTTCTTTCTTTCTTTCTTTCTCTTTCCCTTTCTTCCTTCCTTCCTTCCTTCCTTGCCTCTGCTCTCTCACCACTTAATTTGTTATCTATACCACTTCTCTTAATTGACACCGAAAACCTCCTAATGGGCGCTCGTATAGCTTTGACTCTGTCCTGATCCACCTTGGCCTCTGTATAGCACCTGGCACCTCTGTTAAGTTTCCCCCTCCCTGATTGTACTGCACTGGTCTCACTGTCTTTGATTACATGGTCTATGTTTATTCATTCCCCCAACAGTAACTATCATACATTTGACTCACACATCTTTATGTCCACCCCAAATCTCCTTCCAAGCTCTGGTTGAATTGGTTCTCAAACTGTAGTGTGCATTAGATTCACTCAAAGGGCATACCAAGCTTCAGGTTTTTAGGGCCCCGCTGCCTGAGTTTCATATTCAGTAAGTCTGGAGCGGAGCCTGAGAATTTACCTTATTAACAAGTTCTCAGGTGATGCTGATGCATGACTTTGAGAATGACTATTCTAATTTCATATTTCCTATGAAATTCTCCACCTGGTTACCCAAAGTTGCCTCAAACATCACATACAGGGTCAGTTAGGTTTTTTTGTTTACTGTTTGTTTGAATTGTAAGCCCTGGGAACCAATTTGGGCTAGCTGAAACAAAACCAAGAATTTATCAGGGAGCTCACAGAAACAATGTGAAGGCAGGTTCACGCTCCAAATAAGGAAACCAGAAAACAGACTACTTGACAGTAGGAGCATTTCCTCTAAATCTGAAAAAGTAAACAGTGTCTCTTGTGTTCTTTGAGTCCCTCTGTTCAAGAATCAATTCCAAATGAAAGGTCCCTACCCATCCCTTGGTTGTCCCGGGGCAGGGATAGAAAGTAGTGGAAGCAGCTACCAACAGACTGCTCGTCTTTCATACGGTCTTTCTTCAGGCCCTCACAATCAAGCGAGTGGATTACTACAACAACCTCTTAACTGGTTTTCTTGCCCCTAATCTAACCTCCAACTCATTCTCCACATCAACGTCAGTTATCTCTTTAAAACACATGTCATTTTCTTCTTTGCCTTGTCTGGTAGTGTTCCTGTCTTATCTTGTTTTAAGTAATAAATTGCTTTTCTTTACGTGCAAGTGGATGGGATACTTCCGCCTTAGCAGACTCATAAAATGGAAACGTAGTTTTAAAAGGTAGGGAATACATTTTATTGTTAAATGAGGACCTAATTCCCTAGTAACCAGGCAAGGGCCAGAAGTGGTCCCAAAATAGAGACCCCTCTAGGAGCCTTTAAAAGATCAACGTCCCACTAGATTGAAAACCCCCTCACAACATAGACTCGTCCTCATTGCATGGCCGGCACCTAGCTCTCAGCAGGCACTGAATGAGACGAAGAAGTCTTCATCTCTGGGCCCCCTACTTCAGATGACTGTAGTAGTCTCCTGAGTTCCCGGTCTGCAGTCTCTGCCTGCCTATCTCCTCACTGCCAACTCCTTCCTGTACCACTGCTCATCAAGCCAGTTATCATTTCCTGCTTGAAACCTTCTGACTTCCCACTATATGTTTGCCAGCTCTACACTACTCCGGACTCAAAGCTTGCCATGATAATCCGGTTCCAACCGGTTCTTCCAGGCTTTCTTCCATTTCTACTTATACTGTCAGTTGCTCCAGATAAATGTTTTTTAAACATAACATACTTTTTCTGTTGCTGTTGGTTTAGTTCGACTTTTCGGGATGCCTTTCTCCCATGGGGTTTATCCTACCCTTCCTTCAAAGTCTGTTAACCCGTCAGTAGTCTCAAGCCTTTTTAAATCCATGCCCCACCACCCCAGGCTCTTTCGGTTTTGTCCCCTCGTACTCTGTATCTCTCTTTCCCTGGTTAGAAATTTGAAGCTTTTGTTAACTGATGTCTTATGTGTATACATACTTCCTAAGAGTTGAACACATACAGTCTTAAATTATCACTATATACTTGTCTATTTGTCCTACCCAATTTTAAGAGCTTTCTATCGCTAATTAATCTTCTATATTCACCCAGAAACTACTCTGGTGGTTTACACATAGTAGTGATGAATGAAATCTGTTGAGTAGATGAATAAATGGATGTTTATAATATGGGCTAGTATTTGGGACTGGTCTCCTTGAGGCAGCAGTCAGTGGCTATGCTAGGAATTCCAGAACTGCTGGAATCAAGGGGTATAAATCTTGGCAGCTTGGAAGTCAAGGGGAGTCTAAACCAAAGATGATCAGATTGAGCACAGAGTCAAGGGCCAACAAACCAAAAATAAGCATCAAGTAAAAAGGTTCCAAGGCCAAACCTGACTTGAAGTGTAAAGCACAGGATTTGGAATCGGGTGAAGACACAGTAGAAGCAACAGTAGTTTAATATTAGGTTGATGGGGATCTGGAATGGTGGACTTCTTTTAGGGGCTTGTAGAGCATTTATGGAAATAAAATGAGTGGTTTATTAGCAAAATGGAGTTGCCTAGGAGTCAGAAGTTGAGTGGGCAGCCAATTACCATTTATAGCAAAGAAATACATGGAAACAAATTTATAATAGCAAATGAAGTGAAATATAAATAGACCTGCTTTGAGAGGTAGATTTCATTTGAGCTTCATTTTCTTGCTTCTGCCCTGTCATTTTAATTTGTTTCACACATTTGCATAAGTTCACATCCAAGTTCTAATGCATTTTTTGATTCCTCCATATAATACGGTAAAAAATATATATATTTTAAGAGATATAGTATCATAGTACCCAATACCAAACACAAGAACTCAGAATGTTTTTGCTATATATTTTATTAATTTTAAAATTTATTTTTAATGTTTTATTTATTTCTGAGAGAGAGTGAGAGACAGCATGAACGGGGGAGGGTCGGAGAGAGAGAGGCAGACACAGAATCTGAAGCATGCTCCAGGCTCTGAGCTTGCTGTCAGCACAGAGCCCGACGTGGGGCTCGAACCCACGAACTGTGAGATCATGACCTGAGCCGAAGTCGGACGCTCAACCGACTGAGCCACCCAGGCGCCCCTGTTTTTGCTAACTATTTTAGACTTTTAAAATATCAATGAATAAAGCTCCAATAAGAAAGCTGTATCTAATAACTGATTTTTTTTCTACACTAACTATTCACAGACTAGAAAAGTCTAAACAAAGGTTTAAAAATAACTTAAAACGTAAAACAAAAAAAAATCCTATTTATAAAAAATGCATATTTTATTACTGAGAATGCTAAAAAGCTTAATTCCTACACCAACCTTTCCCTATAAAGCATTTGTTTGCTTTCAGTCTGTGAGGCTGGGTTGAACAGCTCTCTGCCACACACAGTGTTTCCTTGTACTAATTAGCAGCAAGCATTGTGGCAAAGACTAATGTCCACATGAAAAGCACAGCAAAATTCACTTTAAATCTTATTGTAAATGTGCAATAGTCCTTTGCATGCATTGTAAAATAAATTTTGTTATTTTGAATTAAACGATGAATAAAGTACACTTTTCAAGCCTATATTATTCTTCCTGATAAACTCCCATAATAGTTCCTTGGAAAGTTAATATATTTTGGCAGGGAACATAGAAGAATAGTAAAAGCACTTATCCAGGAGCTAGGTGACCTTGATCCTACCTATTAAATGAGGTCTTAGGCAAGTCATTTATTCTCTCAAAGTCTCAGTATCCTCATCATAAAATATAAAGACTTGAATTACTTCAGTGGTTCTGGCAAGGAAGCCTGCATTGTGATTGCCTGTGGACATTTTATTTTGACTTGGTAGATGTGAGAAGGGAGGGCCTCGGTAACTGGAGCTTTACAACACTTCATAAGTGATTCTGATGCATAGGATTGGTTAAAAACCATTGGCCTAAATAATTCTTGAGTCTTTTTTAATTCTAAAAATCTACTTTTTATATCCAATCAGTGGGATTTTAATAGCTCCTACCTTTCATCATTAGTCTCTTTTGTAATGAATAAAGGTATTTTAGGAAATAGAGAAGCTGCCTCTAAATTATGAATAATAGCTTACAGTTATTGAGTGCTTACCAGTTCTAAGGTATTAACTCATTTACTATATGGAATTCAATCTTCACAACCACTTTGGGAGGTAGGTACTAGTATTATCGTCTATATATCACAGATGGAAAAATTGAGGCACGGAGAGTAATTGGCCCAAAGTTACAGAAAGTAAGTACAGAAACTGGGCCATAGAGCGTGCACGCTTAACCAGTATGCTACTGCCATTCAATAAGTGACCTGTACCTGGAAACAGTACCCACTACTATTCTCCACCCAAGCAGCACTGTTTTCTCTGTCGCTTGCTGAAAAAGGAGGTGTCCGTTTTTAGAAAATTTGTGGGATCAAAAATGACGGAAGGGGGAAGCTGGGAAAGGCAAGAATGAAATGACTCAAGGGAGTTGAGCCTAAGGCCCCTGACCTAGAGATTACTTAGATTCACAAAAGCCTTGTTAAAAAGGGTTATGATCTATGGGAGTGATTTTCCATCAGTCATTACTTTATCCCATAATGTTTAAGACATGTCCTTTTGGACTGGTCAAATATTAATTTAAAAAACATTAGAAATTTACCTTACTGGATAAACTAGATCCAAAGCTATAAAGTTAAAACAGGAAATGAAGCACAAAAGCTATGATAGAGAGTCAGGGAGAAGGTAATGACAATTGAAATTATTCAGCCTATTACTAATTTGGGATAGACCAAAGAGAGTTTATTACAACTGTACTTTGGCATACGGAGTAGAGTCTAGTGCATCCTAAGGATAACTTTCCCTTCCCAACAACATGGACACAGTGACCTAACTGGTCTGTGGTCCTGGATGTGCAGTGTTAAAGGCCAATCTACACAGCTGTGCGACTCTTTCCTAACTGGGTGCACTCAGCAACCTGGGTTAGAGCTGGTGTTTTGCCAGGTTAGTGACAGCAGAGCAAGCAGGGCAAAGGAGGCTTCTGGCAAGAGACTGGCAATTTAAGATAGAATGCAGCAAAAAATCAAAGGGAGTGAAGGCAGGAGAGGGCTGATAGGGAGAAAAAAGAGAGAAGTCTGGATTAGAGGTGTCATGTCAGAGAAACCTGAGGACGAGGGGCTACCATAGAGAGAGGAAGAACGCTGGAGACATCAGGGAACTGAGAATGACGTACTGGGAGGAATGGAGTGAGAGAGCTGGGATGAATGCTGGGGCCAGAGAACGTGAAGTCTGCGCTTACGGAGTGAGAGGGGAACCAGACTGGGTGTATGACAAGATCCAGGGTGTGGCAACAGAAACAAGTGGCTGAACATCACTGGAGATGAGATGTCAAGGAACTTCGAGGCTGGTATTCTGGCTATTTTGGTGATGCATTCACTCAGGATGAACGTAGCAGTTAAGGGAAACAAGAGGACTGTAATCCATGTGTCCGTCTTTAATATTTTAAGTCTTGAAAGACTTTGACATGCTTAGGATAGGGAACTGGATATTCTAGAAAGGGCACTGTTCCCCCCTTATCTATGAGATTTCAGTCTAAACACAGTTCATACTATTGCAGAAGTAAGCAGCAGCTTAAGAGAAATGAGTAATGTTTCCCTTCATTCTTTTTTTTAATGTTTTATTTATTTCTGAGAGAGGGAGAGACAGCGTGAGCAGGGGAGGGTCAGAGAGAGAGGGAGGCACAGAATCTGCAACAGGCTCCAGGCTCTGAGGTAGCTGTCAGCACAGAGCCCAACGTGGGGCTCGAACCCACAAACCATGAGATCATGACCTGCGTCGAAGTTAGACGCTTAACCGACTGAGCCACCCAGGTGCCCCTGTTTCCCTTCATTCTTAAGACTAACCTTTGCTCCACTTTTCAGACTTGGTAAGAACCTGTGTTTCACATTTTCATCCTAGGGCTGGCTTAGTATTTTGCTAAAATTGAATAGAGAATGAAATTAACCTGCTAATTCAGGCAAGAAAAATCTCCATTCCCTGTTCTCACAAGTTTGTGAAAATAAATGTTTAAAACATAAATTACAACTCAGTTGCCCCAGTTCTGATTTGAAAACATCTGGTGAGATCACTGGGTACAGCTTCCCACTACTTTTTTTTTTCAGGGTAAAAAAATACACGTACAAAGGTTTCTTATAATCTTGAAAGAACAGGGTGGCAGGCTATTTACTGACAGGTTGACCTTTACACAAAGAACCTTCACCTTCAACAAGCTGAAATTACTGTTACTGATGCTTTCAGAATATTATTCCCTCAGAAAGCGGCATGTTTTGTCCAAGTCAGACAGAAATGGCTAGATAGACACCATTTGGTCACCAAATGGTGCACTGCAGAGAGTAGGGGCAAATTATTTCTATAGTACCAACCATATGTCTGATACTGTGCAAGGAATAAAAAAGGAAATGTCAAATATGATTCCTAATACCAAGAAGCTTACAATTTATTGGCCAATTACATAATAATTGAGCCCAGAGCCATGTCTGACATTGTTGTAATTACTCACAGCATCTAACATACGAATTTATATATATCAATAAGTGAATAACAATACAAAAAGTTTAGAATTAAGTAATAAAACACGTTTCACATAGGTGACTGAGAGAAGAGATAACAATTGAGCTAGTGTCATTGTAATCTATGAGAAATCTTGTCCCTATTCTATTTTGAGCCGGTACTGACACAGGAAGTTCCCTGTTCCTACTCACTGAAATCTTTAGGGAAGAAAAGAACCAGGTCAGCTTTTTCTACAGGTAGAAATTGAAGGTCAGGTTTATCCTGCACTAGGGCATCAAGAGTGGCTGTGTCTATACCTGCATCTTTTCCCAGTTAGCCAAGAAAACTTAGCCTTGAGCAATTGCTCTCCTAAGTATGTAAAGCAATTGACCAACTGTTATTGAAATCCTTTCCCTCTTGGATTCTTTGATTTTATATTGTTATCCTTTCATTTATTTACATAAAAAATTATTGAGCACCTACTATATAACCAGCACTGTATTCCTATCCTTTTTACTTCTGATTCCTTTACTACCTCTTCTCTACTCTATCACTCCCCCTCACCCCTTATTCAGCTCTCAGCTCTATTCTTTTTATGCATCCCATCTTTCAAAAGGTATAGAAGTTCGCTGAGGTTCATGTAGCCGTTAGGCTGATATCTCCCAACCAACACATCCTACACATACAGATGGAAGAGGAGATTCAAGTGTCTGTAAGGTCTTAAATTTCCTGCTACTGATACGCTTCATTGATTGTTCCTTCTCAGTCTTTCCTATGGGCAACTCTTCCTCTAGAGAGTATTAGGTTTTGAAATTTTCAGTACTCTGAATCTGTCTTTCCCCTCTATACTTTATCCTTACACAATTGCATCTCCCTCTTCCTATCACTCTCCAAGCTTCAGAATGAATTTTTCTATTCTTGTTCTTTCTATACTTTGAACAGACTTTCACTGAGTCTGTTGCCCCTGCTTTATCCAGTTAGTTCCTCTTCTTCCTTAAATCTTAAAGTCCTTCCCTAAAGACTTAAGGACGTCTTTGTTCTTCTCCCTAAACTAGGTTACACAGCTCTGCCATGTGACCTTATTGCCCCCTCCCTCCTTTTCTTTTGAAGTATTCATCATTGCATATGACTGTTTAATGGCTGTCTTGTCCCACAGACCAAGAGTAAACAATAGCCTATGTGTCAAATCCAGCCCCACTGCAGGTTTTCTTGGAACATTCTTTTATGTATTGTTGATGATTGCTTTTGCATTTCAAAGGCAGAGTAGTTGTGAGAGAGGCCATTTAGCCTGAAAGCCCCAAATATTTATTATCTGTCCCTTTACAGGAAAAGTTTGCCAAATGCTGCATTAGACTATAAGGACCATGAAGACTGAAATCATGCCTGTTGTTCTCATTTCTATATTCCCAGCACCTAGCCTAATGCCTGACACATCAGTATTTCGGGACTAATTGTATTTCAGTCTCAAGCTTTAACCCATCTTGTCAGTGATCAGGATGAGATCCCATTAATCGGCCTGTGTTTATAACAGCCTTATAAGCGCTGCTATCCAAAGAATGAATGTATTGCAGTCTAAGGGAAATTAAATAACATACAAATGAATAGATTATTACAACCAGAGGTAAATGCTATGGAAAAAAGGAACACAATTAGAATATGTAACAGAAAACATAATCAAATATAAAGTTTGGGAAGACTTCCTGAAAGAAGTGGTCTTTGACCTGAAATCTAAAAAGTGAATTAAGTGGGCAAAAAGAGGTAGACAGAAGGAACGTAGTATGCACCAGGAATTGATACTCATGTCAAATAATAAACTATAAAGTAAGTTCCTTGAGAAATTAAGGGTAGGATCCAAAATGGAGCAAATGGTCAGTGGGACATTTATTATAATGGAAAATCTGAAATACTATTATTGGCCAACAGTGGGAAAATGGTGAACTATCAAATGTCCATAGTGCAGTATATTCTGTATCCATTAAAACAATGGATATGAAGATTTTTAATCTGTATGGAAAATGATTCTACTATAATGTAAAATTTTAAAAACCCTGGGAAGTTGTTTCAGCTAAGTAATATAGTCACAGAAAAATTTTCTAGAAGAAAAATGGACTAAAATGTTAATTATAACTGCCTCCAGGTAGGATTGAGTATCCTATATGTTCTTTATGGTTTTCCATTTTTCCTAGACTATGCATTTAAGACCTTTAAGATTGGAAAAATAAATTTTATTGAGAAAAATAAAGAAATAGAAGTGTTGATCTTAATCTATACATCTGAGGATAGTCTTTCCTGTACCCTGGAATGAGGATGTAAAATGACCACCAAATCCCAGGAGAGTTCACTGTCACTAGTAAAGATTCTTAGTGGAAGTTTTCTTGGAATATGATTTAAACTGTAGGTATAAAAGTGCAGTGGGGACATTAGGACCAGGGAAAACTACGCTGAGATGTGCTGCTGTATATAGACACCTTGCTTCCGGGATTCTGTATCTTGACTAGTTAAATTGGGAACGTAATCTAACCTTAGTCTATGTGTGTTTGGTCTCTTCCTACACACATATGGCCTAGCCGTAACCCATCAGAAATGCTCAGTTTCAATTCTGGATATATAATTTAAATGAGGGTCCTGGAGAGCTCACGCATCAGGTCTAATACTACTCTATTCTGAAAGCTTCTTTTATTTTTTGTTCTGCAAACATCATGTTCAATTTATAGGCTCATTGGTCTCTCCCTTAAAACTATTACTGCTAATTTATGGAAGTGGGTGAGTTGAGAGTTGTTTTTAAAAAGTTTTGCTTCTTCCTGTAACTGAAATAAAAAGAACAGAAATTCTTACAATGATTAATTTGACTTCCCTTTAAAAAGAAAAAATAAAACCCCATTCTTCTGATTAAAATATATTTTATTAATCATTCAGGCAATACATATTTATGTGCCTATCTTATACCCAGGCAGGCACTATGAATCCACTGGGGAAACCTGCATGAAGTCTTCTAAGGTGTGCAGTTGATAGCAATTGCTTCCAGAGTTTGCCATACAGGGCTTCCAAATCCCTTTTGGGAGGGGGATGAGTATCTTTTCCATCATGGTTACACAGAGGCAACAGAGTGGATGCAGGGCTTAGTAAAAACTTCCTTTAGACTAGGCTAGATCAAACTTGGCACTACTGTTTGGAGTCAGGTAATTCCCCATTATGGGGGCTGTCCTATGCATGATATGATATTCAGCTGCATCCTTGGACACTTACCTACTTGATATCGGTAGCACTCTTTCCGATGTGATTAAAAAAAAAAAAATGTGTCCAGACATTTTGCCAAATGTCCTCTGGTGGTGGGGAGGACAAAGAATTTATCTTGACTTTCACTGAATTTACTGGAAAAGAAAAGTAACCAAATAAATTGAAGAAAAATATAAATTTTGCCAGATCACTATGCCCTTCTGCTTATTCCCTAGATTAGAGGTGAATGGAAAGACACGGACAAGACAGACTGTTTCCTACAACAGAAAGGACTGGCATATAGACACTATTCAGAAGATTCTCTACAGTAAGGAGTAAAAGTAATGGACCTGGAGTTAGAAGACTTGGGTTCTCAATAAATAGCTTCATTTCTGTGGGACTCAGTTTCCTGATCTATAAAATGGAGGTGGTGTGGGAAGGCAGTAGAGTCATAAATACATCTTTTAATTTTTTAAAACATTTTTATGTTTATTTATTTTTTGAGAGAAAGGGAGCGAGCAAGCTGGAGAGGGGGAGAGAGAAAGCCCAAACAGGCTCTGCACCGTCCATGCAGAGCCCAATGTGGAGCTCAAACCCATGAACCATGAGATCAAGAGCTGAGCTGAAACCAAGAGTGGGATGCTCAACTGACTGAGCCCCCAGGTGCCCCAGATCTTTTAACTTTTTAATTCCATTAATGTTGAAGACTTATTCTAGTCACTGTACATGGAGCTAGTATACAAAAGATAAAAAGACAGGGTATCTTTCTTCAAGGAGATTACAGTCTATTAGAATGACAAACTAATAAACCACAGTAATCTAAGAGTCACAACAGAATCACGTACAAAAAACAGTGGAAGCCTGGAAAGAACACCTAAATTTGCTTGCAGAAATGAGGGAGACCTTTACAAGGGAAGTGGCATTTTAACTAAAACTTGAAAGATGAATAAAAATTTTGACATGAGATAAGAAGGGGGAAGACATTCTAGTTAGAAAGACAAAAGCAGAGAAATTTGATGCTTTTCCAGAAAAAAATGTGTATTTAGAGAACTATAAGGACTCCAGTGGTGCTAAAGGATATATGGAAGAGGTGAAATACCATATTGTAGATGATAATCTAAAATTTATGTGATCTATCACCCTTGCAGTTGTATAGAAAATAGGTTTGGAGAGGAATGAGCCAAGAGGCCAATCAAATGACTATTATAATAGTCCACCTAAAAATAGTGAAAGTCTACAGAAGGCCAATTATGTGGAGAATATTCAGAGAGAGAATATTCAGAGAGAGAATGCGTAAGACTTGAAGTCAGATAGATAGAGGGATTATAGATACGACTTAGTGAGCATTTTGGTAAGCACTTTCTGTATGTGTGCAATAGCTCATTTAATCCATATAATAAGCCTAACAGGTATTTGCTAAAACTTAATTTGCCAAATGATCAGGTAGTTGAATTTACCAAATACTTGCTTTACAGAAAATTCACCTTACATTTATTGAATAAATGTACTCTTTGGTAAAATTACTTCTTAGTGAATTGGCTTTCAGTGAAATGACTTCCAACCTAAGATAATATAAAATTATCCTCATTTTACTGAGGAGAAAACTGAGGTTCAGCATTAGCAAAGGCAAGGCCAGGTCTATAGAGCTAGAGCTTTTAATCTCCAGGTGACTAATAATACTATGGCGATAAAGGAAACAAATGATCTAGGATATTCTGTTTCAGCTCTAATACCCTATGATTTTAATATTTTTTAAAGTTTATTTATTTATTTGGGGAGGAAGGGGTGGAGAGAGAGGGAGAGAGAGAAACCCAAGCAGGCTCTGTGCTGTCAGTGCAGAGTCTGGCACTGGGCTTGAACTCCCAAACTGTGAGATCATGACCTGAGCCGAGCCTAAGTTGGATGCTTAACCAACTGAGTCACCCAGGTGCCCCTATGATGTTAATATTTTCAAATCAACAACCAAAACTTAAAAAACAGACATAACGAAACTAAGTTCAAGCTCTATTAAGAATACCATAGCTTCTGGGGCGCCTGGGTGGCTTAGTCAGTTAAGCGTCCGACTTTCGCTTAGGTCATGATCTCGCGGTTCGTGGGTTCGAGCCCCGCGTCGGGCTCTATGCTGACTGCCGGCTCAGAGCCTGGAGCCTGTTTCAATCTGGGACTCCCTCTCTCTCTGACCCTCCCCTGCTCACGCTGTCTCTCTCTCTCCTAGAAATAAATAAAACATTAAAAAAAAAAAAAAAAAAGAATACCATAGCTTCTAATGGCAACTTCCTTAATTTTTCTTGAGAATTTAAAAAAATTTTCCCCTTCAGCCCATTGATGAAGACAATGACAGGGAGATGGTTTTCCTTACTTTTCTGTAGTTCTCTGCAATTTTTCTTAACTGTGAGACATTGCGATCTATCTGGAGTCAACTACCATTTACATCCACGTGACACATAAAACCCACTGATCACCTTTAAATTGTCATCCCAAATATTTGTTTCATCCCAATGTAGATGGTATTATTTTTCTAACATGGGGGAAAAGGTCACCATAATTCTGTTCTCTCAGATATGAGACTTATGAAATTCTTAAAACTCAACTTTGTATTTTTTCCCTGCCTGAGAATCACCAGCAAAAACTGCACATGACCTTTCTTGGATCTGTAATGACCCTGGTTCCCAGCTGTGGACAGTGGAGGGTACTCCAGGAAGTCAGTGGAAAGCAGTAACTCCTCTTCGGGGGCATTTTTGTTACAGTAGCATGTGAGGCCCAAGGGCCAGGATGTTAAATATCCTGTACAACGTAGAACTGTTTCACCTAAAACATCAGGAGAAGCCCCCCTTGAGAAACAGTGAGCTCAGGGTCAATTTCATGGGCATGCAGGCTGTGCAGTCTTACAGGGCACCATGGTTGGTTTAGTGCTCTGCAGTCACCATTTTGAAGATCTTCGTACTTGTATGTTTGAACATCTGTTTTATAAATGAAGTCCAGCGGTACAATGGATCATACGTGCAAGCAGAGGAGGCAACGTGTGCATCTTTTCTTCCTTGCCACCCCGTTTGCATATAGTCTTCATGGTATCTCATAAACACAGGACTCTGATGGACCTAATGAGGTACAGAAACTCAGGGAGTCACAAAGTGATTATAAGGCAAGCATATTACATCTATGGCTGATGTGGTGGACTATTCCAAGAGGCTACACTTTCCATTTGAACCAGAACTTGCTTCGGATGCAAAAAGAAGGGAAGGCATCCTAAAAAATGCAAGTGACAAAAGAATCCCGTCCTCTCCTTTCTTACTAGTGTATATTACTTCCCTGTATTACCATTTACATAGAAAATGATGACACAGAAGGAAGGGGAGAGGTAGCGCAACTCATGGTTTCCTTTCCTTTCAGTCCTTCCATACTCAAATTGGTAGGATGTATGCATATCAAAAAAGGAAATAAAAACAGGTTAGTTGAGGGGTGCCTGGGTGGCTCAGTCGGTTGGGTGTCTGACTTCAGTTCAGGTCATGATCTCGTGGTTCGTGGGTTCAAGCCCCGCGTTGGGCTCTGTGCTGACAGCTAGCTCAGAGTCTGAAGCCTGTTTCAGATTCTGTGTCTCCCTCTCTCTCTGACCCTCCCCTGCTCATGCTGTCTCTGTCTCTGTCTCTCTCTCAGAAATAAATAAAACATTTAAAAAAATTAAAAAAAACCAGGTGAGTTGGCTTTGTGCAGCACTTACACATTCTGATAAGCAAAGGATGCATATACATGTAAAACTAGCATATGAATTGTGCACTTCTAGTGATTTTGTGTATGAGTTAAATGCTTTTTATATTTGCATTTATAAATGGCATTGCACAAAATAAAGATGAATGGGAAAATTCATTCTAATAATTTAAAATTCTAATTTTTCTTAGAATGACATTTATTTTGTCATTCATTTTAAAGTGACATTAATTTTACTTAGAATGACATTAAAAAGCAAATAAAACACATCATTATAAGTCAAGGGACAGATGAAAGAAGAAAGAAAAAGCTTTATATTTTAGTACATATGATGGCACTTTTTTCCTGCTTTTTGAGCAAGGGGCCCCACATTTTTCATTTTGCTCTGGGCCCAGCAAATTATGTAGCTGACCATGACTGAGCTAGCTTAAGCAGAAAGGGATTAAAGGATAGTACTTAGCTCAGAGATCTTGGAGAGGACCAGAGAACCAGGCTTGGATAATACACAGCTAGATAGAAACAACATTCAGGAAAAACCAAACCAGGAAGAACACTCATCCCACATCACAGAACTCTTCTAATGGAAAGCCATCCCAACACCAACTGCCAGTCAGCACCTGTGACTCTAAAAATGATGTGAGAGCTCTTCCTCAGCTACCCAGAAGAACCAGACATCTCCACCATGGCATTTGCCAGAAAATCCATCTCCCTGAATGCTGCTGAGGCATCATGTTGCTCACCTTGGCACCCATGTCTTGAATGGGTGCATCTGATTACTGGAAACTAGGTCATATGTACAGGTATGCTGACGCCAGCTAGTGATTGTTAGCATCATTTCTAACTAACTCCACATTCAGTGAAGTCACTTCAGTACCTTGGGAGTATTTACACCATGAAAATTGGTCAATGCAACAAATCAGAGTTGTTACTCTCCCCCAGCTGTTAGTAAACACTTACCAGCACACCATCATCTATCTACAAACAGCACTCTCTAGCTGCAAGTGTCTGGAAACTGTAGTTCTTTAACTTGGTAGCTTTTGAAGTACAAAAAAACAAGCTAGATGGGCTGGATGAGGGCTGGGTAAACCATCTTATAATACCTGAGCAAAGATTATAGTATCCATTGCCTTCTGTTCTAGATTATAAAGTGCTAGTAGCCAAATACTCATAGATGTTGAATAGTATTGGTACAGAAAAAGGTTTGGCAGGCTTTTACTAAAAGCATGACATGGGGGTGCCTGGGTGGCTCAGTTGGCTGAGCATCTGACTTCAGCTCAGGTCATGATCTCACAGTTCGCAAGTTCGGGCCCTGTGTCAGGCTCTGTGCTGACAGCTAAGAGCCTGGAGCCTGCTTCACATTCTGTGTCTCCCTCTCTCTCTGCCCCTCCCCCGCTTGTACTCTCTCTCAAAAATAAATAAAACATTAAAAAAACTTTTTTAAATAAAAAATCATGACATGATGAGTTATACATCAGTGGACTAGAAGAGATATAGGTCAACTGATATGACTAAAATACATTTCTATGATGCTAGACTATAAACTCTGTAAGAGCAGGGGCCATGTCTGTTTTATCTCTCACTATTATCTGAAATCACCTGGCAAATAGAAGCTCCTCCACAGTAATAACAACAACAACAAAGATAACTTTAAGAATAGAGAGAGTTCAATTTTGGCATCTCTCTTATTCTGTGTACGTAAGACCATGCCAAATGATTTTATTTACTCCTTTTAGAGGATAAACTTCTGGATGCCAACAGTTTACAATACTTTCATACATTATCTCATTTGCACCTGTACCATCTCTAAGAAAACAGGAACTACTATCCATTTCATAGATGAGGAAACAAACTCCAAAAAATAGTGATCTTTCCAAAGTCATGTAGCTAGTAAAGGATTTAAAATTTTCATTTCCTAACTCAAAATTCCAGAACTCTTTCTTATGTCAGGAGACTGTATTATAAAACACATTTGATAGTGATTAGTTAGGGAAGCATTGTCTTAATTAAGGAAGTACTGTCAAGTTTTCAACTTGAGCATCAACTTCAACTCAATTACATGCAATGAACAAAATATCTTGATTTCATGCCACAAATGTTTTTCTTCAAAGTGAATATTCTTTCCTTGGCATTTTAGAAGGATTTGAATTGTGGTTGCAATTGCCTTTTCTTAAAGTCAAGGATGTTGATTCAAGAGGTGGGGGGAAAGAAACCCTTTTCTAGAAATAGCTAATCCATGAATTTGATACTTTTTTTTTAAGCTAGGAATAGTATAATTTAAATACTATGAATGTACTTGGATTGAAATATGGTACAGGGACTCTCGATTTTATATTACTTTAGAATCATGAGTGGCGGGTGAGGTTGCTAATAGATTTCCAGGCCTCATTCCTAAAAATGTGACTTTGTAAAGGCCAAAATATTAAAATTTAAAGAACACTCAAGAGCCCAGAATACTAAGAATGGTGTATCTGTCATTCAGGTTGTACAAAAATATTTATTTTACCAGAATATGCATTTTATCACGGCAGTGCTATTTTTAAATCACTTCCATAAGCCTCCTAAAACCTAAATCAATTTAAGAGATTTGCCTCATAAAATTATTAGGTAATTTCCTGTATATTAGAAATCTTGCTACCTGTGTTTATTATAATCATGCTCTGAGGTTGAAAACTGCAGGCTAATTTACTGTCGTAATCAGTCTCAAATCTCTTGTAGCATAAATTCTTACTAGCAGTATATGTTATCGAATTTATAGACAGCTTCCTACCAGTGATCTGTTCCTCTGAGCCTTTGGATTTTCCATCTGAAGAAACACAATGGTGCCAAAGGACGATCTCTTACACCACTTAAAATATATGGCAACCTACTAACCATTAAAATACACCTGTATAATATATGAGAGTGAATGCATGATCTCTAATTAGGGTACACTGAAAATGACTGTCAAAAGCCCTTTACTTAGTGCCATACTTCGAATTTGAAATCATGGTTTCTCTCTCTTGCTTAAATCTTTAATAAGAAGAAACCGTTCTGAATGTAAGTGAAACTCCCGTTCCACGGAGAAAGAAACTGAGGTTCCAAGAAACCAAATTATTTTCCACGGTCACACCGGGTTATTAGTGACCAAGTCAGACAAAAAACCCATCGGTTCCAACATAATAGCCAACCCAAATGCTTCTGTTAGTACCTCCCCCCCCCCCCAATTTCACTACACCCCATCTCCCGACCTCTTTTTGGATAAAGTGGTTTTGTTTAACAGTCCTTCCCCACCCCACGCCCGTTTGCTTTTATGCCTTCGGATGGTAAAACCTCGCACAACCCGTTAGTGAATAGCATTGGGTGTCCACATCTAACGCAGTGACTTTCACGGGCCTTTTCCTTTGGCCGAAAATATCTCAGAAAGGCTCTTAATCCTGGATTCCGCCAGGGGAGGGGGAAGGGGAGGGAGGTCACCCAGCGCCGACAAGTCCGTACTTGTACGAGCGCGCGCGCGGGACCCAGCCTGCGGGGCCAAGGAGGAAGCCAAGGAAGGATACGTTAGGGCGGGAGGGAAGGAAAGAGGCGGGAGAAAAACCCCGTGGTGGGAAATCCCTGTGCACGGGATCCGCCAACCCCTGGCAACGCCGAGCAGGATCGGGCGTGAATAAACCCTTTTAGGTGGCCAGGCGCAGACACTGCAGCACAGCCGACTCGGAGGGGGCGCGGCGGCTCGAGCCGCACGATCCGTAGGGAGCGTCCGGGAGGCCCTTTTATAGGCCGAAGCCAGCGCTCGCGCGCCCCCGCCCCTCGCGCCGCCCCCGGGCCACGCAGGGAGCCGCGGCGTTACCTGAGAAGGGCCGGCTGCGTCCGCGCCCAGCCCCGCCCGTTCCGCCGCCCGCCCTCCCGCGAGGCCGCGGCGGCACGAGATCTGCGCCTCGCCTCCCTCCCCCCGCGGGCGGGTTTTCTTACCTTGTGAAAAAGCCGTCTCCGCGGCTGCCCCCGCCTCCGTCGCAGGATGTGAAATGGCGGTCGGCGAGGCGAGCGCGAGTACCGCAGCTCCGGCCAATCCCGCCTAGCCACCAAAACGGCCCCGATCACTGGCGGCCCCCCTCCCGCAAGCCCCTTGGAGCCCATCGGTGACATCGGCGCTCCGCCGCGCCCCCCCCTGCTGCCCCCGCCCAGGTGGCCGTGCCCACCGGCCGAGTCATCGATTCCCCGCGCCAGGCGCTAGTCCAGCTTTCCACCGGCCTCCTCCCTCGCTGCGAGCCTTGGGGGCGGGGGAGAAAACACCTTCTCGGCCCCCGCCTGGGTGTCCCGCTCGGGCGCCCGCCCTGCTCCCTCCCTTTCCCGCCGCGTCCCCTCCCCCAACTACTCACCGCCCTCCCTTCGCCGCACACACATCCCCCGTCTCCCCTCCCCCAGTGGTTGCGTCCGTGACATCATCATCATGGCAACAAGAGCTGCAGCCTGGGACCGAGGAGCCCGTGTGATTCCCGGCGGCGGCGGCAGTGGCGGCAGCACCAGCACCGACGATAGCGCCAGGGCTTCTCTCCTGTTGCCCCTCGCCGGGTGTTCCTGAGGAGGCGGCGGCAGTAGTGCCAACACCACCCCGCCCGCCGCCGCCGCTGCACCCGGTGTCTGTGTGTGAGGGGAGGGGGCCGAGCCGCGGAGGGGAGGGGGCGCCGCCGCCGCTGCTGTGGGGCCGTCGCTGCGGAAGAAGCCGCCGCCGCCGCCGCTGCCGCTGCCGCTGCCAGATCGCTCGTGAAGAGAAGGCGGTGGCGGCGGCGGCGAACATGTTTTCAGTGAGGATAGTGACTGCCGACTACTACATGGCCAGCCCGCTGCAGGGGCTGGATATCTGCCAATCCCCCCTCACCCAGGCCCCTGTCAAGAAGGTGCCGGTGGTGCGAGTCTTCGGAGCGACCCCGGCAGGTAAGCGGGCGCTGGGCGCGGGCGGGAGCCGGCGGGGCGCCCGGGCTGCCCTCCCCGCCGCGCACACGCGCGCACTCGCCGGCCCTCGGCGCAGCGCTGCCGCCTCTTCCCTCCCCTCCGCCCTCCTCGCCTTTCCCCCGATGCGTGACAAGAGGCGCAAAAATGTGGGTCCGCGCGAGCGCTGCGCCCCCTCCTCCCCGGGCGGGGAGGCGGCGGGCGCCGAGTGTTTACACTGCGTGCGGCGGCCGGGGGCCGGCTCCGCACTCCGGGTCTCGGGCAGGGGGAGCGAGCGCCCGCGACCAGCGCTCTGGCCCTGCAGGGTGGGCCAAGTGGCCGCGCCATGTCCTCCGGGAACGGGTTCGCGGGGCGGCGCGCGGAGGTCGGTCGCCCGTGGGCCTGCGGACAGCCCCCTGCGTCTCCCAAGTGCCCTTTCTGGCGGCGGCTTTAAGAGGAGTGAGGAAGTGTCAGCTCTCTGTAGTCAGCCTTTCCTAGTCGCCTCTCGCCTGCGCCCTCCTCTGCCCCTTCCGGAGGTGCCGTGGGCTCTGGAGTGGCGCCTGGGGCCAGATAATCTTTCTCATTGAAGTGACCATGTGGCTCTGCTGTGAGCGCAGGTCGGGACTCCTTAGAGTTTAAGCCTCCGAGTCTGGGGACAGGGCAGTAGCCTCAGGTGCGATGCTTTGAGGGAAACGTGGACCCAGGGAAGCAGGAAATGTATGTTTGTTGCCCAGCATAAAATAGCCCAGTCGGTAGCGTGAATTCCTTATGAACCTCAGCTAAACTCGGCCACACAAACGTGTGGAAATGCTCTGTGCTGAGTTGTATTGCGTTTTGAATACACGTACCTTGAAAACGAAAACTGTTTTTGCTGAACGCGTGGGGTGGGGAGGCAGCAGTGGCAGAAGCTACATTCTCAGAAGCTCTTGGGGATTTATGCTAATATAAATGAGTAGTGGCCAAATTTACAGGGCTTTAAATTGTTTTCGTTTTCTACATGCTTTGGACCGTCTGCATGAAGTCATGGAGCTGCCTCCTAGAGAGGGATGCTCTTATCTCTAGCGATGTATTATTGCCCTATGGGATTTGAGAAGGCATTTCCCACTTGATGCTCCTTGCCCTAATCACCATTCCTCTTGTTACTACCGTTTCTGTGGACTCCCTGGATAATAACACTTTCCCAAACACAAGCACGCATTTTCAAGCAGTTATCTTTTAATGTGAATTCTCTTTGTTAAAAATGTCAGTGGTGTTCGTATTCCTTTTTAAAATAATGAAAACGATCTTGGTGATAGGAACCCTCAGAAGATTGGCAATTTGAGTGCTGTTAATTTGTTGAAAGTAGAACACCTGAAATTTGGGAGGCTGGAAAATAGAGGCACTAGATTTCTGAAGGATAGATTTTTTTTTTGCCCTTTTATATATTTATTGGTGCTGTCTTTGTTTCTAATTGGGATTTCAGTGTAATATACTATTTCTTCTCACTTCAAGTACAGAGAAATAATAAGATAGTGACGTTGATATAGCTCTGTTCAGCCAGATTTCCAAATCGTAAAGTGACATGCTAATAGGATATATTGTGGCATCTCTGTGTATTAAAGTTCGTATGGTTTGGATTACTTTTCTACACATAGTTGTTTTGTTTTTCTCTACCCGAGTCATTAAATATGTATCCCTGACTGATTTTCAGGCTGTTTTATAGAAAACTTGTGTTTGTGGAAACGGGTGAATTTCTACTGTGATCTAGCAGCATCTCTATAATGCGAGAAAACGTTCTTTAAGAAATAAAGATGATGTACTTTTGTGTTTAATATAAAATAAATAGACACGGGACTGTTCTGTGATAAGTATTTATTTCTTCCCTCCTGGATATCTTACAATTGATTACCAGCCCCCCTTAAAAATTAAAAAAAAAACTTTGAAATGTATATTGTCAATGAATATAAGATACTTTTTTGTACATACATTGAAAGATAAAAAACTTGATACAAAGAAACTGAAACTTTTAAAGGCATATCAAGTTGAGTTTGCTGTAAATATAGTTCAGTTACAAACCTGAAAACTTTTGTGTTTCTTTAACAGGTGAAAAAAATTTGAAGTCACTGGCATACATTTAGAGTTTATAGCTTTCAGAAATCAAGCCAGCATTTTTTAACACGTTAGAAATTACCAGTAAAATTAGTATTAATCATAAACAAAAACTACAATTATCTGCTTCCAAATTCTCTCCCCAAAGAAAACTAGTCCAGTTCACATAGTAAAATAAAATTTGAAAATAATTTACATAAAAGATAGGGCAATCTTCGTAATAAAAGTCTGAGTGCTAGAATTTTTAATGAAGAAAGTTTTATCGTTTGAAAGTACAAACTATGTTTATATATTTAGATAAATTAATGAAAAATAGTAACACATGATAAATGTATGTTATATAAAGTACTATAAACTTAAGTCTTTCATATATAATAGTCAATTTGGAAGTCTTTAAAATAAAGATTAATTCTTTATCTTGGTTTGGAGAAAAGCTGTTTTTAAACTGAATTTACTTTATAAATGAGTCCTGAAAAATAGAATTTTCTCCCAAATAAAAAGGCCATTTCATATTTGTATTATAAATTCTGAACTGATTGATTTCTTACGTTTTTAATAGTTCAATTTTTCTATTATTGCATAAAAGGTATTTTTCTGCTTTAGAAAACAGTCCAGTTGACTCCTGATTGTCCTGTGTTTTGAGGGCATATGTTGAGTAGTTTAAGAAATAAATGTCTTAGGTTTAAAAGCTCTTGTGTTGCTGAAATTTAAAAAGGTATTTAAAAAAGGTGGCATGTTCAAATTTGAATGGTAAATCCTGACTGATTTAATCCCTGAGGATATTGATTCCTGAGAGAATCACTTAAATTTTCATGTGAGTGATGGAATTATTTTTTAAAAAACCAAAAAATCTGCTTTTCTTCACCCATTTAAAAAATATCTTGAACATTCGTTTTGATGTAACAATGTATTGAGCAATGTTAACGTTTTGGTAACTTGTTTTAATGGAGAGAAGAAAGGTTATAAATAACCAAAGTACAGGGCAGTGTTTTTTCACTTGGATTTGAATTATGGGTATGACTGCTCTGGGAATTCACTTCAAATAAAATCCTAAGGCTTCATTGTGAGGATCTGACTCAGGTGGATCTGAGTTTCCATATCCCAACTCTTGCTTAGTTGCTTGATGTAATTCCATGTTGAGCTTAGAAAGCTCTCTCAGTTTTCTCAGCACCGAATTAAACAGAATTATCCTCTCAAAAAGCTTCCCTGCTGAGATGCAGAGTAGGAGTAAATAGAAGAGTGTGAGTGAGATGTTCACATAGCAAGTAATTAAACAAAGTAGGCCAAACAGACTATAGAGGGAGCTGCTTGTCTTTAAGATTACTGTAAGGAACTCTGCCACTCCCCCTCTAGTCTTCCTCTCCAGATAATGAAAATTTTAATAGATTGTTCTAGATGCTAACTGTTAACATGGAATCAAGTTCTTCAGCATAAGAAATTGGTCATTCTGAAATGCTATATAAGTTTATGTTGTTGCTTAATACCTTTCCTTTTTTTTGTGTGAATTGGTGGATTAAGTTTGAGATGAGTACAATTCTGAGAACTAGCATTACAGATCATTTCTCTAATAATAGTCTTGTGTGTTCACAGCCTTTTAAAAAAGTTTTCTTTTCCACTTAAACCATCTAAAAATACTTTAAGATCACATAGTACCGATTTGATATAATTATTAGAAAGTTTTTTCAGGAGCACTGCTGAGATTTAGTGATTTGGCACAAACAAAATTAGTCACTTTATTTAGTAGGCATTTGAAGCCATGAGTATCAATTTTATTAGATTTAAAATCACAATCAGTAAATTAGAGGATAAAGCAGGGCCCTCTTAAATGTGGACACAGTAGAATCTGAATAGTAATTCAGTTCATTCACTGAACACCTAATGAGAACCTACTATGTATGTTGAGCTGTTTTTGGTGTGGTCATTATAAACAACTTTTATCCTCTAGACTCTCACAATGTAGTAGACATGATAGACACGTAAACATAAGTCATAGTTTGATTGGAGTATGACAGAAATGTGTAAAAGGAAGCAAGGTCTGAAAGGAGAACATGTTAGTGACCAACTAGCAGGCAAAAAGGGGAGTCAG